TTAATATAGTAAAATAGGAATCGTCTAAGTGGTTGAAAACTCAACCAAAAATATATAATGTACGGTACAGACTTCTCTAAAATCCAACATGTAAATAAAACATGGGATTGGAATTTGTTTGGATCTTTTGTTTATATTTTGTTGTTACTAGATAGCCTGGTTGCTCGAAAGCGAACAAAATTGCAACGTGTAATAAAATGGAACAAAAAACATAAACAGCCAAACCTCAATCATAGAGTGGCTCTAAAGTAAATAAATGTGAAAAATATTATGTTGTAAAAAATTATAAAAGTAATCTATGGTAAAATATTTAAATATAGATCCGTTCTCATACCGCTTTGGTTATCTCTTATGTACTGTGGGCGGGTGTCCTCTATGAGAACGTAGATGTCAACCACACACTGTAAAGCTGTGCTGTAAAGTGAGCTTTTCAGACCTAATGTAGCAAGCTAAATCCCTCTCTTGACACCAACCAGTACGAAACATACTAGGCCTATAGCATTGTAAAATTATTTCTACGATATGTTCTGTTTTAGGCGTGTTTAAATTAGGTGTCCCAACTAAAGTCTCTGGTTTAGAAAAAAAGAGTGGATTTAATGACGTATCTAGAACGGATTCACGTTTGACACTATTCGTTTTTGAAAATAAAAAAAAACAAAGATTTATTTGGACAGGTGGTGCTCTGTTTTCAGCTTTTCAGATTTAAAATAGCTGCGACGTCTATACAGGTAGCAAGGGAAGTCACTTATTTTGTCTCTTACTATGCACATAAGAATCTAACTTGACTCCTCGGAGCTCTCGTCCCTACAAATTTCTGCCACAGCTTTAAAAGATTGGGCAAATGGGTTGGCATTGTCACCCTACTCCTGCATATTTTTTCGTTTCATTTTTTGTTTGAATTGTTTTACATGCGCTGTTGGGTTCTAGTGCCAACGTCGTACTTATAGATCTGTGCGTATTCAGGATCATGACCTTCTTGAGGAATTAGATTACCTACTCAGTGGTCAAACGTGTCATGGATCTTGAAATTGTAGATCCCCTGTGTGACCCTCTTGTCAAAATTAGCTTCAGAGCTGACCACGGCAAAGGCGGAATTGAATTGCCAAATTTTATCCAGATAATTTCTGGATCCAAGCCTCACAGCCCTGTTTCAGATTGGAAGTTTCCAATAAGTTCCTAAAAGTATGGTGAATTCCGCAAATGAGGTAACCGAACCTTTCATTTATGGCAACAAAGAGTAAAAATTGAACTGTCTCGGCCAGTCTTTTCTTGCTTAAAATGTAAGCCACCACAATGTAAATATTTAACGTTATCAATTATCAATTATCAATTATCAATTATCAATTATTTAAGATGGGGACGCCACTATGTGCATATTTTAACCCAAATATGAGTGAAGGATGAGTGTAGGATGAGTGTCGTGATCTTGTAGTCTTGTTAGTGACTAAGGCCTACATGTTAATTTGTCCGAGGTTGGATGAATCACCACGGTGGTACTGCCACTCTGTATCCGTCAAATTGGGAGGTTGATGCAAGCGGTCACTTTTGCGTTCCCTCCAGCCACTCACAGTTCTTCGTCTTTCTTGTGGCATTTAATTTGAAATTTAGATAAAATGCGAAAGTTAACCAATCAACAGAAAACACTAAAAGGAATTTTATACACATTGTAAATTACATGATAACATGGTAATGTAAAGGGTAACTGCACTGTGAATAATCACTTTCAAACATTCACTTAATCACACCGAACTGTAAACAAAACTACATGATAATTCAGTACGATGTAAGATAAATAAATTTAACATTTACAAACAATTTGTTGTCAGGTCTTGCAAGGAAACTCTTTATTTATGAACCAGACTTAGTTAACAGATGTTTAAATAAAAATATAAAATTCCGGCTTTGCTCTGGAAGTAATAAGTCCTGCAGTCTGTGGTTAAACTTAAATACCCCCGCCGCAGCAAACCTGCAGACTAAGCGAATTTCCATTTGCCCGATTGGATTTACACTAAAATGTCTCGTTAAAAACATCACATTATTTCCCTATTTAAATAACATTAGTTTAACGAGTACTTAGGTTTGCTGCAACAGAGAGGGTAAAAAGTAGTTTATTTTTTATAAAATGTTATAGTTTAGTATGAAATAAATGCAATAAATTTCTCCATAAGAATAACATAGGAATTTTAAATTTATAGATTTTTAGAATTTTCTCTGTAACCATTAGGCGCATAATAACGCTTCAATACTAAATTATTTGTTTTTTAAAGCTCTACAAAATGGTTTGGAAAGAAATTGCAAAATTATAAGTTTTTAGGGTCAAAAATGGGAAAAACCAATTTTTACCCCATAAAACCCCCCATAAACCCCCGTTCCCATGTTCTGATCATGCTGGTTTCGAGAACTTTTTAGAATAAACGTAGGTTTACACGTTTGTACCAAATTTCATCAAAATGGGATGATTTTTGCTCGAGTTATCGCGCTAACGGACACATATATAAATATATATATATGAATTTGAACGGATGGTGTTTTTGGCCTCTAGGGACCTCAAAACGAACAAGTAAATCGGTCCCGGGTCCAGGTCTTACCATGAGTACTACGGTAATAGCATATTCCCTATGTGGGGAATTTGCTAAAACTATTTCAGGCTACCATATGTCCATATGTTTAGCTGTAAACAAAGGGAATTGAGTTTGTTGGTTTAAACTATTGTCAACAGATAGCGCCGCCGTTCCCAAACTTTAGCCCTTAACTGTACTTAAATGCTGCCCTTTCTTAATATTCTGAGACGTATTTGAACATCTACATGAAAATACCTTTAATTTGACACCTCAAACGTTAAAATCCGTCCAGCCGTTATCGAGTTATGACTGTGAAAAGAAACCTGCTTGCGTATTAATATATAGATTTTGTCACCAACATAGTAATCTATAAGGCACATGATAATTTTTTTAATATTTTAAATTCATTTTTCGTGCTTATTTTTGAGCCTATTTTAATTTATAAAAGGATTCTGCAAATCTACAGGAAAATATCTTTCATTTGGTACCAACCGTGTGTAATTCAGTCCAGTAGTATGTTCAGGCTAGCGGTCATACGTTTTGCAAGTTTTTTAGTATATAAGATTAGGAAATGTTGTGTTTTGAGGGTAAAAAATTAGAAAAACCATTTTTTACCCCATAAAAGCCCACGTAAAACCCCGTTCCCATGGTCCGATCATGCTGGTTTGCGAACTAATTCAAGTTTATCCCGCCTTTAAACCTTTTTACCTTTACACCTTTAAACCAAATTTCATTAAAATATAAAAAAATTACTCAGGTTATCGTGTTTACAGACACACACATATATTTATATATATATATACATATATAAAAATTTGAAGGAATGGTCTTTTTGGCCTCTGGGGACATCAAAATGAAAAAGTAAATCGGTCCTGGGTCTAGGTCTTACCATGTCACCATCGGTAAATAGCTACTTCCCTATAGGGAAATTCGCTAAAAGGGAATGTAAGAACATTTGAGAAACAGAACATTTCTACCCGGATAATGATCAGCTGATGTAAACCAGTTACAGCAAAATTACTGATCAGCTGATAGCTAGGGGTATCATATCATTATACTGTGACTGCTGTAAGAAAGCAGCCATGACAGTTACCAGACTAGTTATAGTAATTGAAAATGATTTATGAAACAGTCTTTTCCGGGTGATTCATACACCTTTGGTGAAAGGGATCCAATCAAGATTAGTTATGGGTACAAATTTGAAGATAAATTTTCTAAAACATCAGTATGGATGACTAGCTCACTAGCTACCTGCCTCGAAATAATTTTGTGATTCATTACTACGTCATAGTAGAACCCGCTGAGGGATTTAAATGGCCTTTGACATTACTATGCCGTCTAATATACAATTACCAACGTTAAGTGACTACTGAAGTTATACCAAGGGAGAACTTTTTCATTTTCAACATTAACTGCCCTTTTACCAAGAGCACAGAAAACAGAATAGAAGTATGTTTTCTGTGCCAGGGGCAAGGAGCTTCAAACATAGTACTGTACCTACATTATATTTTTTACCAAAATACTAATCCCGCTGTATCTCCTTTCACATATAACACTTAAACTCAATTTGCAAATAGTACCTAATAGTGCCATCAGTTCTCTCTTGACTTCATTTAAAAGCATTTAGATATCTTAAAGTATCATAAGAACGTTTGTTTACTTATGTGACATAGTGTTCTCTGATGCATTAAAAACATTTCTTGGATACTTCATTACTTACTAACTACAGTACCGGTACTTTGAAAGGCTGTCAAATAGCGAGATGATTTCTCATTCTCGTGGTTCTTATTTGACCCTCAAAGGTCCTAAATAGTTACAGGTCTACTAGTCTACAGTGTCTACAATGATTTCACCAAGCGGGATTTGAAATTTACAAATTATACCACAACAACACCACCAGTGGACATATCCTTAACAAAAAACTGCAGTTCCATTCACACTCTATTTTCAATATTGTGCTAATAAACCAAAGTAACCAGCCACCTGACCTTTGTCTTACTGATAATGTGGACAACAACGAGGAAGGAGTCTGACACCTCAGACCTGCACAGTGCGTAAAATAATTTGTCACACTAACTTAGGACAAAGAAATGGTATAAAACTCAAAACTGCTATTTTGGAGACTTAGTTTACAAAAATATTTTCTGAGGGGTACCCCCAATACCCCTAGACCCCCCCCTTTGCCCCCCCCCCCTTGTGACTGTTCTAAATTCGCCGTTGTCTGTATGGCATTGAAATACATTGAAATAGCAGATTACAGTAATGAAGGAAATGTGAAAGAGACAGCCTAATAAACATAATATTCAAGCAACATTATCATTGTCATATTGATAAAAAACCAATGGCCAATGTTGTGTTGATATGATTAAAGTTTGGTTCACATCCTTTTTAGACTTCATCAAATAGCTGTAACACACTAAAGGTTTCTCTTTGTTGCAGAGATGGTGTCGTGATGTTGCGTTTGGTGGTGATCTGCCTCGGGATTTCCTCGGTTCTGCCTTTAGAACTGAGCCATCAGGATCTAGAGCTTGCCAACAAGTAAGTAGAATGGTAGAAATTATCCTTTAGAGCTCTAGCCTAAGGCTGAATCTCTATTCTTGACTGGGAAGAAGTTCTGCTCTAAAATCTGTTGTCAAAATTTTAACTAATGAGTAATCTTTTTTGGATTTTCCAATATAAATGTTAGTTGAGGTTTAAATATAAGCAAAAATCTTATATATAAATATATAATATAATATAAATTTAAATATTTATATTTATAATATTTAAATATTTATATTTATAATATTTAAATATTTATATTAATAATATTTAAATATTTATATTTATAATATTTATACAAATTTAAATATAATATAATATATATAAATATAAATCTTATATAAGTTATTTATTTTTTACAATCAAAACAATAAAAGATTGATAACCCTTAGTAAACAATGATAAACACAATACAATGACAGTATGCACAAATTACAATAAAAAAAATTGTAAACATTAAAATGTGTTTTATATTTATTTTAGTTTGTGCATACTGTATATTGTGTTTATCCCTGACGAAGTTAACAACTGATCAACTTTACGAGTACCTCAAGCTGACGATGGTGTTTTTACACCGAAACATGTTCTACTAAACTGACATACTTTGTTGAGCTGTGACAAGAATTACCTAAGTAATTTAGTCTAGTCTTACATTATGTCTAACAACATAGGGGCTATAAACATGGATTTTACAGATTTTTGTTGAATACACAAACTTTTCCACTAAGCCTAAGTAGTGGTACGGCTTTATTGTAAACCATAGCAACTGTCATTTTAAAACCCCATCAACCCCTCAACCATGTTAGCAACAAAAAAAGTAGAAAATTGAATGTTAGACACTAGACAATTCTGTGACTGGCTCACTTAACTATGTTATTTTTCAATAATTAATTGGCGACAGTTGGTCCATATGGATGGGATGTAATGTCTACTTCAGTATTTACTTAAATTTTCACACTGAGGGCTACCTGATTTCAGAGAAGTTATGGTACAGAGGAAACTCACTTATGGGACGAGTGCGCTTCAGCTTTAGTTTGTTGTGGCGGAAATATACCTGTGATGAGTAAGAAAGAGCATGAACAGTGAGCACTGTGCAGAAATTCATATCACACAGGGCACAGGGGCTTTCTACAACGTGAGCCTTGTGGTATACAAAGGCGAGGGGGCAGTGTTGAATTTACCCTGGACACCAACAATAGTGCTAGACACCACTTAAGTGTAGGCCTACCAATGAGTGTTTTCTCTGTACCTTACTTCTCTGGGGTTTTATTTAATATAAGTCCTATGTTTGATTAACAAAAGGTATAAACATTTTTTGTTTATCGATTTCTGTAACATTTACATAATTAGTTACAACTTACAAGTTACACTAACACACCATTAGGTTTGACAAACTCTAAAGAATTATCAGGGTAAAATGTTTATCTTGTGTGACATCAATATCAAGTAATTTAAGTTAGTTGTTAGATTCTTTTGGAACTATATTGTTTCAAATATAAGGTGGGTTTTAGTTTTAAGTGATCTTTAAATTGTAAGTGAATTAAATTGTATAGTTACAGTACGTTTAATCATGCATCAGCGCAACTTATACTCTGTACTAGGTTGTCCAAGAAAAATTTAAACCTCTTACCTACATTAAAAGAAACAAATTTTATCAAACTTATTTTGTCAAGTTTAGTTTTGTTTCTAAAATGAATGATAGTTGCGTAACTATTTTATACAGCAGATGTAAAAAACCACTTAAGTCTCTTCCGTGTTCTCTTCGAATTCCAAAGCTCAGGTAGTAATGGCTAGACTCCAAATATTGTGTACACTGTCGCCAATAATATTTATATTGGACAATATATTATAATCCTCTTCCCTGTTCGTTGTTTGGATATATTGTAATTCTACGTACACTCACTAAAATAGTATTTTATAACTTAGTTGTTTTGTAACTTGCCTAGTATTGATATCTTCTAAAAAAATTATAGTTAATTTTTCTTGGGGAAATAACTAATGGTAAAAATTAATAAATTATTCTCAAATTTCAGAACTTGCGATGGAAAATCCACTTGCGAACTCGGCAAGAAGTCAAGATTTGGTGATGACTTGGATTGGAGAGATAGAAACTGCTTTTGCGATGAACTCTGTCGCAGATACGGAGACTGTTGCTTGGACTCTCCGTTTTACAACATCGCAGAGCAGAGGCGAGGAATTGCGTCCTTCACATGTGTGGACCTGCGACAGTTTGGAGGCATCTACATGATGACGACCTGTCCTCCAGCGTGGGGCAACCCGAGAGTCAGGGCGATGTGTGAGACTGGCAGCAACAATAGACAAGACCCCATCGCGGGACTTCCAGCTACTAGTCACAACACAAGTGTCACCTACCGCAATTCCTATTGCGCATTGTGTCACGGAGATACGCAGCTTGAACTGTGGACACCTAGGATAGAGTGTCCTACATTGAACATCCAACACAACCTGACGAGGGAGAACTTTACCAACATGTTGACTTACAATCACACCAGGAACCCACCTACTTGGGGAATCACCATGAAAGACAAGTTCCATCCTTGCACGATAGATCCCGTCATTCCTGAGACATCTTCTCATTTAGTCAGGAGATGCCAAGCTGACGCTATTAAGTCTTGTGCGGTTAACTGGACAAACAACGATGTGAGGAATAGATGTGAGGCGTACACTTCTATGGTGTACCATGGAAACTATGCGTACAGAAATCCTCACTGCGCCATGTGTAACAATGTACCCCTTCAGTACCTTGCATGCAGCAAGATAGTATTTAGGACTTTTTTCAACAAAGACTTTAGTCCTGTTGCATTTGCTGTTTTGTTTGATTTGTCTGGTGGTAAAACTGTTGGTAAAGTTCAGCCTTGCACCAAAAGTCAGTTGTATGACCCATTTTTCAGAAAGTGCAGGGACGTTATTCAAGATATCTCTGTTTATGAAGAGCTAGTAATACCACTAGAGGAACAACAAGAAATGATGGAAGAGGTTTTATATCATAACAGAACTAACCACACAAGCTATAGTACGGAATACCATCATGTCACAGAAAGCAGTGAAGATCCACAGTGTGCCAAGTTTATACTCAACCCCGAAGATTTTGAAAGTAACAACGGTTCAGTGTTTGTTCCAGCTTACGATCAGACTTTCAAGCGAGGTAAATACACGATTCGTGATGACGGGACTTTAGAACTTTGTGTTGACGCTCTTGGAGTACAACTCGCAGATAAGTTCGGAGAATATATGGGTTACATAACGTTTGCTGGGCTAGGTGTATCTATAATATTCCTTATTTTACATCTCACAGCCTTTTTGTTGGTTCCTGAACTAAGAAATCTATCTGGGAAGAATCTAGCGTCACTGTGCGTTTCTCTTCTTGTGGCATATACATCCTTCATGGCCGGACAACTATTGAAGATCAGAACAACCTCTTGTCAAGTGGTCGCAGTATTGACATATTACAGCTTCCTGGCATCCTTCACCTGGATGTTGACAATGTCCTTTGACGTTTGGAGAACATTAAGATTGGCAACAGCTGAATTGAGAGTTTCTGCTGGAAAACAATGGAGGAAGTTCACAATTTACTCACTTTGGAGTTGGATAGCACCGGGAATAATAGTTTTATCTTCTCTTCTTGTTGAGTATGCCCCAGAAGGTTCAATTCCCTCCGAGTACCGTCCAGACTTTGCAATCAATGCTTGTTGGTTCGGCCAGCGTAGAGCGTTACTGCTCTACTTTGCTGTTCCTCTGGGAGTCATCATGGTATTGAACGTGATATTTTTTGCAAGTTCTGCCCACATGATTTACTCAACTACGTCTACTACAAGATTCACGGCCAGTGCTGGAACACAAAGAGACTTCCGATTGTACATTCGACTAGCGTTGGTGATGGGATTGACTTGGGTTGTTGGTCTAATAGCAGGTACTTTGGACAACGAAGGACTCTGGTATGCCTTTGTGGCTCTCAACACATTACAAGGACTGTTCATCTTCCTGGCGTTCACCTGCACAGACAAGGTGATCCGAGGTCTAGCCCTGAGGAAGGCCGATGGAAGACCTCTCCGACCTCCCTCCTTCTCCTGGTCAGGTGCCTCCACAGACAGTACGAGGAAGTCACATATGTCCGATCCAGGAACCACAGACACTCTCTACTAACCAAAGTTTTCATCCGTAGCTTGTATCTAAAGTAGCTTTATTAGTCTTGTGAGTTTTTGTGAAAATATGTGTAAAGCTTGTATTAGTGTATTTTGTACATATCTTCTCACCATGACCATTTAGTTAGATTTAAGTACGAATGAAGAGTATATGTAAAATAAATGTATTATGTGATAAGTTATGATACATGACTTTTAGGAAGCTATATAATTAGGCTCTTGAAAAGAAGAACCAGGTAAGATATTATTATATTTTTAAGTTGAAGTACAAATTTAAGAGTTTTTTTTTTTTTTATATAGAAATTAGTTATTAAACTGCTTTGTAATTTTTTACAGACCCTTGCAACACTTACATTATTGAAAGCAATTGTCAACAAAGTTATTAGATAAGTAGCAACCCCTAATACATTGTTAGTAATTCCAACTACCTATTTGTAAATCAATTCAATTCAATGACTACTTGCTTTTGCTTTTTGTTTTTTTCTTCAAATTTGTTCTATATACATCTAAACTATAAAATTGTATATTTTACATTTAGTTATTTAAATATCTTTTAGTTTTAGCAATGTACATAGTTGAAATGTATCAAAAGTGTAACACATGTAAATAATTAAATGTTTTCAACTTTTAATTTGTTATTTTTTGGCAATACAGATTTGATAAAATCCCTAAGTGATTTTCTCCTTAGCTACCTTTTCATAATTTTGTTACCGTATTTTGATGTAGAGACAAACACAATTGGGGCTTGTGCTATTCCAACTTGTTCCGATGGGTAAGGTACAAGACACTAATGAATACTTACATGATATTATATATTATATATCTTGAATTATTCTCCCAAGTGGGGGTGTTTAGGGATAATCTAAGCAAAACTACGACAAAAAACGAATTTAAACTATAAAATAATCAAATGTATTTCTCATTAATGTTTTCATGACAAAGGAACAATATTGGACAACAAAACAGACAGCTGATAGTAAAAACAACATTCACGTCATCTTAAGTATGACTATTACAAATAAATAATAAAGGCAGGCATTTTCAACACTTTCCCTTATTTGCATAGTCATGCCGAGAGTCCGAGATTTTCTCGCAGAACTTGAAGTCTTGGTCGAGTTCGTTAGTATATCTGCTAGTTGATATTCCGAACCGATGTGCTTTACAGTCAGCATTCCTATATTTATCCTGTCTCGAATGAACAGGTACTTCCGCTGAATATGTTTTGTACGAAAGTGAAACTCGGGGTTTTCACAGAGTTTTCTTGCTGATTCGTTGTCAACTTTCAGGATAGGAACAGCAGACAATCCTATAAGTTCTTTGAACAAACGAGCAATCCAGATTGTTTCTTTTGAACCAAGATTAGCTGCAATGATTTCAGCTTCACAAGTTGAGTCCGCAACTAACTCCTGACGACGACTAAGCCAAGTTATAGCTGCACCCGCGTATTTAATAATAACTCCACTTGTTGAACGCATTGTAGTTGGACAACCAGCAAAGTCCGCGTCACTATAGCACTCCAGTAGACGTGTTTTAGGTTTGGATTGGTACACTAGCTTCTGGTCCACAGTGCCGGTCAAATAGCGTATAACACGCTTTGATCTTGTGACATCATCTTGTGTAGGATTTTCTAAGTGACGTGATAGAACACTTACACTAAATGCAATGTCAAAACGAGTACCACGAGCAACATAAAGTAGGGCTCCAACTGCCGATCGGTATGAAAAATCGGAGGCTTTCCCTGGTGTTTGAGCAGTGAGCTTCTCTATGGGAGTAAGTACTGGCTTGCATCCTTCCATGTTGAATCGAGAAACGATCTTCTTGATATACGCTGATTGGCAGACCAATATATCACCATCACTTTGAGAAATTTCGAGTCCGAGAAAGTATGACACTTCTTTAGCAACAATTTCAAATTGTGAACGAAGTTGCCCAATAAATAAGTCCATTTCAGTCTGACTAGTCGCTGCGACTAATCCGTCATCAACATAGAGTGCAACGATGATTTTTCCAGCAGGGGTAGGACAAATGTAGACGCAGGGATCTTCACGGCTCTGTCGAAATCCTAAGCCTTTCATGAAATTGTCAAACCGTTTATTCCAGCATCGAGGTGCCTGTTTCAGGCCGTATAAGCTGCGTTTGAGACAACAAACATGATTTGTCCCATCTGAATATCCTTCAGGCTGCTTCATAAAAATCTCTTCTTCAACGTCTCCGTACAAGAACGCAGTTGAGACGTCAAACTGCCGTAGAACCATATTCTCAACGGCTGCGATGGACAATATTGATCGAACGACCTCCAGACGAGCAACCGGGCTGAAGGTTTCAGCATAATCAATACCAGGTCTTTGGGCACATCCTTTGATGACCAATCTCGCTCGATATTTGTCAACACTTCCATCAGGATTGCGCTTTATTCGGTAGACCCACTTGTTGTTGATAGTCTATTGGACAACAAAACAGACAGCTGATAGTAAAAACAACATTCACGTCATCTGAAGTATGACTATTACAAATAAATAATAAAGGCAGGCATTTTCAACAATATATTATATATATATATATATATATAATCATCTTCAAAGTATTCATTAGTGTCTTATCATTAATGAACCAATAGTGTTCCAATTGTAAAATACATGTGGTTCATTTTAAGAAAAAACTTAAAAATTTTAGATACGTTTAAGCTTTAACCTTTGTTATAGAGATCAGCTTACATTTGACAAAAATCGTTAATAATTATTATTATTATTAACAATTATCCCACTCCAATAATCAATAACAGCCAAGTGTTGGCCAATCAGTTTCATAACTTCAAAGGGGGCTTAAGACTCTTTCATATACAACTGACAAATTAAAATTATTTGTTACTAAGCTATAGAAAAAATATACAAAAAAAATTGATAGATTAGATACTGGTTGTTAATTTAAGTTTAATCAGACAAGACTGTTACAGAAGACCCAAAATCATGTCACAAGACGACTTCAACCAATCAAATGAGTAAAAATAGTAAATACTTATTGTTTATCACACAGAAAAAGGAAAATACAGACATTGAAGAATTTATTACCATTCAATCAAACAGAAATTAAAAAAATTATAACAATCAATATCTTTTGAATTCAACACGTTTATCAAAAGGTGTTCACAGCCTTAAATGTTTTTATCCTCAACTATATTTGTGTACCCCTGTTTAAGAAGGATGTTTATCACACAGAAAAAGGAAAATACAGACATTGAAGAATTTATTACCATTCAATCAAACAGAAATTAAAAAAATTATAACAATCAATATCTTTTGAATTCAACACGTTTATCAAAAGGTGTTCACAGCCTTAAATGTTTTTAACCTCAACTATATTTGTGTACCCCTGTTTAAGAAGGACAACCAACTTCTTTTACCAATAATGATGAGGAATGTACTTTGATGTGTAGAACTTGACAATTAATACAGGTGAATTCAAAACCAAGAAATAGTTAAACAAAAATAGAAAATCAGTTAGATGTATAAAAGATAACCTTAGGTTGACTCCTGGTGGTGTTTATGGTTGTCTTAAGTTACACATTTATTGTAAGTGCAGTTATTCTAATTATTATAATTTTGATTTTGCTATTTGATTTAAAATTAAGAAAACTGACACAGTTAACCCAGTAAACCTGGTCAAAAACGAAGAGATGGTACTAAGGTATTGCTGTTAAGTCATAAGGTTTACAAAAGGTCCAGCCATTCTAACCTTCTGCTTACAGTTCTTGGCTTACTAACACATTCAACTAATTACAATGGTATTTTTGTAAACATGGAGAAGACCCACACTTCTTTTACATCGGGAATATGTACAAGGTGTAATGCAACTATATCTTACAATTAAGTGAAAATAATCTCCATTCATATTTGTACAAGTAACACAATCTATATAGGCCTAAACCATCATAAATCCCAGATTTAAAAAATTATCTTTGTCAACGTATCCCAACTTATTCAATTCATACAGCAATAGGCTACATAAAAATATTTTTTGTCATACTCCAGCAAAAACAGTCGTTTTCAATAAATTTATTGTGGTCTAAAGTAACTCTTTTACTCCCTATGGAGTAAAGAGCATTTTTAGTCCCTACGGAGTAAAAGTCAGCAGTTGTAAACTTTGAGAGTAAGTAATCGTATGAATCGAGAGTATGTATCCCTTGTTTTAATCGGTTATAGCTTATTGTTGCATTCTGGTTAACAGTTAGACATATTGATGGGATGATGTACACTACACAATGGTAACAGTTGAAAGTTGAAATGATTGAATCACTTACTACAGTCGGGACCACGTAAGTTTGCAGTTGGTGGCAGCCAATCACATGACAAGGCTAGTGCGACGTTGCCACATCGCCCGTTGACAACACTAATTAAAATATACTAAGCAATATTTTCAAATCAGCTGGTATTATAAGATTTGGCAACACCGCACGGTTCTCATTGGTTCATTCAACACCGTATGGTAAAAGGCTCCTCCCTCAACTGCAAACTTATGTGCTTCCGACTTAAATTGGAAACAAGGTAGAAGTCAAAAAGAGAGCTTCTTTACATTAAAAGTTTTGTTGTTTTGTTTCCTAACTAAGGCCAATAATTTGTATTTCGTAAGACTTTTTTGTTTGCCTTTTAATTCCATTATACCTGTTGTTGATTTGTAACTGTATTGTTGTCACAATTTTATTAATTAGGCTAATTTGGAATAATAAGACAATATCAAATATGTAACGAAGATAAGTCCAGGTATTTGTAATAAACATTAAATAAAGTTTTTTTGTTGTTGTAAATTTCCAAGTTTTCTTATAAATTGTAATGTTCTGATAGCATTGTTTGAATCCAAAATCTCATAAAATCAAAAGATGTCTAGTTTACAATATAATATTGAATTAAACCTCGATTTAGTTTGATAAGGTTATTATTATATAGCCATTTTAGGAAAAATACTTTTTTGCAGTAAAGCCTCAGTAACACAATTTATGATCACTGTTGTGGTTCAACTGAAAAATCTCATCTAAATAGTCCGTGACTAACTAGTGCTGCTACCTAGTAGCGCATTGAACAACTTGCTGTTGCACTATCTGTTTGCAATCGTTGGCTTCAGCTTAAATACCGGTTTTTGACTCCTCAGTCTCCAAGAACAGATAGCCGAGGTGACTAGGGCGTGTGTCACTTGGCCAGTGGCATTCGTCTGCTCGGGATCCAATCCCGTCCTGTGTGGCAAATAATTGGTGACCTGTGTGTTTGTAGCGATATACTACAACCACTGGGGCATAGTGAGGTGTTCATAATCCTTGGTTTACACATACACCTCGAATCATCGGATTGGGTGAATCTTTTCTAGCTAAGTAGTTGTTAGTGTATCCTATAAACATGGAGGCCACCAATGGCCGTATAATGGAGCAATATGACAAAAAATATAATTCATCACACAGGCAAAAAGCGTTTTTTTCCACCCTCGTTCATTTTTCGAGTTAAGCTTGAACTCGGGTAGAAAAGAGTGACTTTAAGCCTAAGTGATGAAATATACTATTTTAACATAAAACAATCGAAACATTTTGGATACATAACTAAATAGTCTTTTATCAAAAGTAACTATCAAAGACATTCTAAGGATTTTAATCTTTTGATATCCATAGTACGTCAATTAAACATAAAACGTAATATAGCTCTATTTTGAAATAATTCAAATCTGCCCAAGTTAAACATTATAGCAATTTGGTCCAAGTATCCAACAATAACTCTCTGATCAAAAATAGTGTTATAATAATGTTTAACAACCACAAATATTACAATAGCAGGTAAATTATCTTGTACCGCCTAGTTATTCTATTCTCAATTGAATAAAAACTAAATTTTAATAATCACAAGGAAATAATGAAACACAGTCAAGTTTGAACTTTTTATTATAATGTTTTTAAAATACATATCCTATAGACTAATAAATATCTTTTCATAACAACATAAATATAAAAATGTACAATTTACAAACAGTCAAGAAATAAAAAGAGGCAAGTCGACCAATACTAATGGGTTCCAACTAAAACAATATCACGCCAGCTTTGTGGTATTGACAACAGCCACATCACATCACAAGATTCATCTAAATTTGACTAAATTCGTGGGACACATGTGAGATTGTTTGGAAGATTAAAAGTGGCTTAAAGATTATTTAGACACAATATTTCTCGGTGCTAACACACTAAACATAACATCACAGCATTCTGAACCCATTAGTATTCGTAAAGTAAAACTAACATCTAATATTTGGATGTTCAGTCTTATTTATACTTATTTACATAAAATAAGGACTGAATCATTTATCTAAGTGCATATGAAGATATGTTAGTAGCACCGATGTTTACGTTTACAAAATGACACTGTCATGTCGTAAGGAAATTATTTAAGGAACATTAAAAAATAACAAAACGAGTATAAAAAATGTGTTATAAATAAGTACAAAAGGTAAAACACTAAGTACAAAGGATGAAATGATAAATAAACTGTACAAACTATTCACACAACAATAATACAATCCGAAGATTAAACCATGAAATAGAAATGCATGGAATAATACTGAAAGACGTAAATCTATTTACGATGGCGCTAAAGTCTAAAAAGTATAGACTAACTAATGCAGAATTTACAAAAATATTACTTTTTTACCACCGTTTAATAAATAGAAATCTCTTTAAGTACATTAACCACCAAAAATACCTAACATGAAAATAACTAAGACTGATTTTAGATCCTTATAAATAAAATATACAATTCAACAAGCGATTAATTACTAAACAATAAAAGAACACAGCCTAGAATGACATCGACCTCCCACTTCCAGCTACTGTCTGAATGTCGTTACAAGGCAATGTAAGTAAGTCTTACAGTTAACAACATAAGCGATTATTGGGTAGAGGTCTTGTGAGTTACAAATAAGCTCTTAGAAAGTGATGTTACCAACTAGATTCTAGATTGTGAGGATATTAAAAGAGTGCATATTGAAATTATGTGATAAAATACTTAGATTATGGTGAAGTTCATAAGGAGACTCTTTAATTACCTCCTTATTATAAAATTAAATTTTTAATTGTTTCTGACCAATTAATAAACATATTAATTGAAAGGTTGGGAATATATACTTAAACTTTAAAAAATATCTTCATACAATTAAAAAAAATTACTTCAAATCAAATTTATTTTTAACTGAGATGAAAATGCGTTATCCCATCATAACCATAGCACAATAACTCTTTCATAAAAAATTGAGCTAATATTTAAATTTTCACAACCGCAAAGTGAACAGGTATCTTCTTGGTTCGTTTGAACCAAGCGAGGTTAAACAACAAGAGCCAGTCTCGAGGTAAATGATCTAAGGAAGTGAGAGATCGGAGAGTGAAATCGTACAAACCTCACTCTGCTCATTCCAAGTCAACGGCCTTTCTTTTTATTCCACTATCGCAGCCGACCAACTCAGCTTTCAACTGGAAGTAAGAGTCAATTCGCTCCTTGGCGTACTCCTGAAAAATAATTTTAATAAATTGTTTAGTAGGGCTAATTATTTATTTGTTGTTATGGCCAGTTTGTATCAAACTGTATGTAGACTATAGTCAAAGTTTGAAAAATAAACAACTTTAATACCTGTGGTAGAGTCATATGGAATGACACTAAAAAATAAAATATTTGACAATTCAAGAAATTATCAGGCTACTTTCAGGCAGGACTGTAGATTCTTCATTGCTTCAGGGCATTAAGATATTTTCACGGACGTTCTCAATGCAAGAGAAGTGGTGTTGTTTCTATAAAGAAAACTTTAAACTTTACATTTAATTATAATTCAATTTTATTTAAAGTTTTAAACCACATTACTCGCAGCTTCTTTTTAAAATGTTGTAGCTTTTTTTTGTTTACCCACCTATTAAACTTAAAAACAATTGTCAATTAACAGTAGAGTATCCATGTTTAGTACTTAGTAGGGTGCTGCTGATGTGACAATACACATAGCCCACATCAACAGTTTAACTGTCCTAAACCATCTAACTACTGTATCTAAAAAAACACAATGTGTCACTGTATGTAAATGTTTAGAAAAAAGAAATGAACTAATGAAAATATCTGATTTTCTTTCTGATTTATGAGTTTGTATAAAGTGTCCTTGTGTGCCTTTGCAACTTAGGCAAAATTATGTATTGATTTTTGTACAGTAGTCTTGATTATCCAACCTAAACCGGCTAAAAACCTATTCATAGCCCAAACATGGTTTATTATTTAGACGTTATTGTCAGCTTCGGCTGACGTTATTGACTGAATCCTTTTGATCTTTTTTTATTTACTACAAGAGTTGCTGCACCATTCTACTACCTTACATTGTTTAAAACTCTTTCCAAATTTTTTGTATAGCTTTGTAATAATGACAAATCTTTCAAATTTTTTGCCCTAAAAAACAATACTTAGGGTAGAAAAATCTAACTATTTGAGACACACTTAGGTTTTTTACATGCTTTCTAAACAAAAAGACATGTTTTGCTCTTTTTTAGAGGGGTGATGAAGACTCTTAAAACAGTAAAAATGTAAAATATATATTACAAGTGTTATTAGACATATCTTTTACTTTCTCCCCCTATACCATAGTATATGGAGAAAGTATTGTTTTCGTCAAAATTTTCGAGTTTGAGTTTTGAGTGGATATATTCGTTTTGGGTCCCCCTGGACCCAAAAAAGTGGTTTTGGAAGTGATGTCTGTGTGTCTGGATGTGTACAGAGCTAGAGACTACACCTGTGGTCCGATTTTGATGAAATTTGGTATGTAGGTTCTAATCCATGGTATCTCCAGGCATTTTTTTCATTTTTCTGAAATTTGGATTTTTAATGGGGATTTTCCCATAAAAACCCATAAAAAACCGGAAAAATTGGATTTTCTCAAAAATGGCCCGAACGATTTTGATAAAAATTTAGTATGTTGTAGCCCTTTTGAATAAAATGGTACCAATCCCATATCTGTAAAAATTACGGTTCAAAAGTTATGGTCAAATATGTTATTTTCCCATAAAAACCCCATAAAATAACAAAAAATAAGGATTTTAGAAAAAAATCCGGTTTTGATGTAACATAGTATCTTGTAGTCCTTACAGTTTTGATAGTTTTTTTTTAATTTTTTAGAAATTTTTTTATGGGGATTTTCCCATAAAACCCCATAAAATAACGGAAAAATAGGATTTTCCCAAAAATGGCCCAAAACGATTTTGATAAAAATTTAGTATGTTATAGTCCTTTACATTCTGAACAAAATTGTACAAATCCCATTTCTGTAAAAATTACGGTTCAAAAGTTATAAATTATGTCATTTTCCCATAAAACCTCCATAAAATAACAGAAAAATCGGACTTTCCCGAAAATGGCCCGAACGATATTGATAAAAATTTAGCATGTTATAGTCCTTTAAATTCTGAACAAAATTGTACAAATCCCATTTCCGTATATTTACTCTCACCGCTTACACATGATAAAGGTTGTTGACAAACTTATGGGAGAAAGTATGTGTCAGAATGCTGATACCGTTTATTTTTACTTCCCGTGACAGCACAATATAAAGAAAAGCATTATTTGTCCCATCTGCTATGTGTTTGCATTCACACTGCAAGATGTTGAATGTAGCTGAGAGGTATGAGGATTGATTTACTTTTGAACTAACATTACATCAATATATACGACCTGTCACTATTTTCTATTTTTTTCTTTCTCCCCATATACCATAGTATATGGAGAAAGTTTTGTTTCATCAGAGTTTGAGTTTTGAGTGGATATATCTGTTTTGGGTTTCACTGAATCCAAAAAAGTGGTTTTCAAAGTGATGTCTGTGTGTTCAGTTTCGTTCAATATCTGTAGGCCGATTTTGATGAAATTTGGTAAGTGAGTACTAATTCATGGTTCTCCAAAAAAAATTCTGTTTTTAAATTTTTTTTGTTATTTTTAATTGGGATTTTTCCATGAAAACCAATAAAATAACGAAAAATCGGATAAAAAAAACCCTGGTTTTGGTTAAGTTAGTATGTTAAGGGCCTTATAATTCTAAACTAACAAGTGAAACCCCACATTGTTTTAAAAATTACGGTTCAAAAGTTAATGCAGCTTTTCCTTCTGTTTACCTATGATAAAGGCATTGACTATTGTATGAATAGTCAAAGATAATGGTTTTTGACAAGCTAATGGAAGTTTGTGTCAGATTGCTGATAGCGTTTATTTTAACTAGTAGAATGAGACAGTAACATAGTGATGGCTTCCTACAATTATTTTATTTTATATAATTGACTAGATATAAAAGATGCAATAGGTTTCAAAGAGTGACACTTTGGATGACATGAATCTGCAGAGTACTGATTGCGGCTTCAAAAGGTGCATGGACTTACCCGCTACGGTGTAAAGTCAAAGGGAGAGTCTGATAACATGGAAGGTTGGAAAACTGAAGAACGGAAAATCAAGAATCTACTTTACTAAATTAACACAATGTTTAACTGCAATATCTTACCCAGTATCCGAAGGGAATCTGACTTCTCTTGGCGTTCACCATTCCCCACAGTCCCCAGAACAGGTGAGACGCCAAGGTAAAGTTGCGTACCTCTCTGATCAGCGTGTCTAGGCACACTGGTGCGTGTTGTCCCGGTACACTGTGTGCGTATTGCTCTAAGAACACCAGCTGTGGACAGAGTAAGCAGCTCATAAACACATGGAACACAACAACCTCTCAGTAACACAACAATCTATTCACACTTGCTTTGTTTGATTGCATACTACTTTATACAACTGAACAATTCAAAGATCTAAGTTACGTCGCATCTTTACCTTTGTGGTTGTACAGTTATAACAATATCCTGGATGTAAGAAGGGACCAAGATTTTGCCTTTGGTTAAGATTTTGTTTCATCTTGGATTTTTAAATCTCTTTCATCATCATCAAGATTAAGTTGTAACCCTTTCTATTCTCTGGCGTATTTTCACAAGGTTTTCTATTCGCTTGCATAATGCATTCCTCAATTTTACAACTTTTTTAAGTTGTCTCATTTCAAGGGAGGATAAATTAATTTTTATCAATCCATACAGTGATCATACATAAATATAACTTACCTTTAAAGTATTATTTTGTACACACTATGGTAATAAGCCATGATTTACCATAACTATTTTTTAAGTTATAAAAATTGTTCTTAAGATGCTTTTTGCTTTTATAATGAATCTGTTAGTCAATGGTATTTTTTATGTCATAACTCTTGTAAATACGCTAGATATTCTTCACAAGTCTATCAATATATCTTTCAGAGAACAATCATATCACTTTGCGTTTCAACATATTGATTCCTTGTGCCCACATACAATCAAATACAAAATTTGTTATTCTTTGGGAGTTAAAGAAATTTTCACATCTATTATCTATGATTCATACAGTTAATTCGTTTTGCACTATCAGACTAGTCGATCAGATATAATATTACTGTCATGAGATTTTACTTTACCGTACTAATTTACCCTGTATTCATTTATATTTTCGTAACATTTAGGCTAACATTGATTTCATTTTTGCTTAGTTTCACAGTACATAATAAGCAATTTCTTATCTGAGATTACATAAAATTATAGATGACCTTGTGTACCCGATCATAGCCAAGTTAGATTAGTCAAGTACAAATTTGTGTTTTGCCAATGATAAAAACTTGTAAGAATAAGAATCATAACCTATTGCAAGTGTGTGAATAGATCATAAATACATTTACAAACAAAAAACACATAATAGTTTTACTTTCAAATTGATGTGATGTAAATGTTGCAAATGAAAATAATTTAAGTACAATAATAACTGTTAGAGTAGGCCTACATGCAAGTTACATAAATTCTAACATACATACAAGTAATCTGAAGCCACTTTTGATGGGAAAATTGAGTTTTGCTGAAAACTAGAAAATAGGAAGCTTAGTCGTGAATTTTGATATTTTGTTTTACTAAAATATGGTAAAAACCATTATTGAGAAGTTATACCTCTTATGAGTGAATTATCCAATAAGTAGGTAAGCTGTATATATGCATAGCCTATAATGTATTGTTAATATATATAATCGTACATCAGTTATCTAAAGAGACTTATTTTCATTTTTAGTCCAGTTGTCTAAGCTCTAGAAGAGATTGGTACTAATTAACCTTGTTTTCCCTCTTAGAAATCACCAGCAGAACAACAGGGGCAGCAAAACTCTATTTTCCCCAAAAGTGGGTGTTACCAATGTCAATTACCGTGCATATTTCAACCTTTTTTTACAAGCTGGTCCGACATAGTCAGATCAGAGATCAGAGGGTTTGCGACATCCCGGGTTCGGGTTCGAGAATTCCCAAGTTTGAGAGTTCCCATGGGAGTCCGTAGCTTCCGCAAGTTGCCCCGAAAAGAAACAAAACACACAAAACGCAGAGAGGCAAAAACAACAATCGACCAATCACAAACTGATAACAACTGATTATCAGCTGTCCTCTGGTGCGCCGACTTGCGTGGAATAGTTTGGTGCGGAATTGGTAGGTTGATTGTGAAGATTAATTCCAAAGTATAATTTTTTGTAAAGTTTTTCACAAATTATTTTTTTAAAGGATAAACTAACTGATGAATCTGGTTACTGTTACAGTAACAATATTATTTTCTAATTCATGTGTGTTTGCCCTCAGTTTGTTCAAGTATCAATTAGGCTATGTAAAATAACCAACAATACATCATAATCTAACAAATTTCACTCAATTGAATAAACAAAGGCAATATGTAGGACTACTTAAGTTGACCAGCTTGATTTAACGGACACATTTATCAAATTTCATGCAATTTTTAAAGGTTTTTCACAACATTGATGTTATATTTTACAACAAATTTCATAAGGAAAATTAGTTTTTCACCCCCTTCCATGCAGCTCCTATACAACCAACAAAGGAAGCCTCTAATATTTCCTTGTTTTATTTATTTACTTGACCAAGATTACGTTTTATTTTTCTATTTCATTTAATTCAAACACAATTAATTCCACCACATATTCCACACAAGCCAGGCACAGTTGTTCTCATTCTCGAAGAAATCCTACTTGAAATGCCTACCCCTAAATTGGATGAGAATGGTAAAATAATAGCCATTAAATGGTGATAATGAATTTAAATTGACTAAAAATGAATTAAGTGATACCTAGCATGATAAAACTAATAAAAATAAAGAAACTTACCTCGCCTGAAAAATCATTTTAGGAAAACTTGGTAATATTAACTAGGGATGGGCTAGTTTGGGACATTTGTCCTTGAAAAATATTTGTTACAGGTATTTCAATATATTTTTACAAATTGTATGAATTTTAAAACATAAACTCACTTGTAAGAAATTAAATAGAATTTGGTAAAAATTTATTACATTAAAATCTTTAAACTAAATTATTGAGCAACTGCTCAATTATTGTAAAACATGAATTGCTTGTAGACCTAATTCAAAAGCTCTGACAACTTTAATTAATTTGTCCTTATAAAGGTATGTTTGGCATCCAGACCAGTTTCTCGTTTGCAAAACATAGCCTGTCCCTAGTAAATATTTGCACACCATATCAGTATTATAAGTAATTTTCAGATCAATAATTTGTCAAAAAAAAGAAACAAGATAACAGTATAAAATTGATATTATTTCATTCTTCCCATGAGCCTTTTGAACTATAAAAGTCAGAAAACTAAAATGTTTAGCATATAAAACTTACTTTTATACATATGGTTTATAAATAGGCTAGAACAGTGTAACATGTTGAAAAAGAAAACATAACATTTTTTTTAGTAGCTTGATATAATCTGATATGGTGCATGAGAGTTTGAAGTTGCATGAAAATACTACGACCAATCACACTGGAAACTTTCATTCATGAATAATTTAGTAAATTTAAGTAGCCAAAATGTCTAAGCATGCCTTTGTTTACAGCACAAAATTGAACATTTTCATTACTTACTGGAACAACGTAAGACTTTTTTATTCCAAGATCTTGTTTAAAAAACTGTTAAAAAATAATCTGAACTCCATTTGCTGAATTGAAATTTGAGTAACATACAACAAATGTTCACAAAAAAAAACATACATTGTCTAAATGAAAATTTGTTTGCCAATTTATAATAGAGTATTATTTGTTTTAAGGCGGTTTCTAGTTTCCAACTCATTTATTCATATGTGAATCAATCAAGATACAGGTATATAAATATGTAAGTTACCGCCTTCGCAATCCTGATTTGTTATAGCACTACGACCGTTTTGGAGATAGCTCCATCGTCAGGTGCGAAGTCGTACAAGACGATGGAGTAATCTCCGAAACGGCCGAAGTGCTATAACAAATCAGGATTGCGAAGACAGTAACCTATATATTTATATACCTGTATCTTAATTGGTCACATATGAATATATTTATATATATCCACTTGCAATCTGCCACACTGAAATATCAAGATACAGATACCGGTAGTGGTAAAAACAAGCTAAAAAATAAACAATAATAGGTAATAAAATACATCCATTCTCTCTTTCACACAGCAACAAAAGTCAGGCCCATTTTGGCATTAAAAGGTGCAACTAAAAATAATGATTAGGTATTCATGATTAAAATCATATTAACTAGGTGAATAATAAAAAATATTCAAAGTAAAATTTGTAAGCTGTTTGGTGAGTATGTTGTAAACAGTTAAGTTGAAATATAGTTGAATTTCATAGTTAAAATAAAATACAACTAACTCATACATTAGGATCACATAAAACTACTTTGAAAACAAGCCATCATTGTGTTAGAAGACAGATTCAGTAATCTATTCTTATAACCACTTAAAACATTGTTATATATTAACACATTTAAAAATCTATAACAATTTTTCTATTACTTGCTTGTTATTCAAAGTAGCCTATGTTACTTATACACGCCTATTTAATATGTTAATTATAGTTTCCTACATTAATATTTGCCATTGTGTATAATAGTAACGAGTATGTTATAACACTCGGTAAGACACTTAGTTGCACCGCCAAATGGGCAAATAGACTGTCACTTACCATCTGGTCACGAGAAGGGTAGTTTTCCTTGACAACTCGGAAATTCGGGTGTTCCGCTTCAGTGTAATCATAGATCCACTCGATAAAGTGATTGGCGATATCAAAACCTCGGTAATTGTACGAGCAGTACTCGAAATCAATCAACACAATGGTGGGGTCCTCGAGGTCTTCACGAAGCAATATGTTGCCTTCCTGCATATCATTGTGGCAGAACACCACTGGAGATTTCAACTTGATCAAATGCTCTCTGAAATCCAACAAGGCTCCTTGTGAATCATCACTATACAGTAGTTTCTGGTTAACATGGGAGATTGCTACAAGTTCTGGCTGATCCTATTCATCACAATATTGCATCTGTTATGAGCTGACAATCACATGTTTAGCTGAGAAAACAGTGGCTTTCTATACCTTCTATGGCTCAGTGGAGGCTGACTTTTCATTGAGATGCAACAAAGTTCTCAAAATAAACCAACAACGTCCCAATTTCTGAACTTTTATTTCCTAGCACCCTGAGTCAATCACAATCACTATGAGTGATGATATTTATCGTGGCCGTGGAATTATTACATTATTGTATTAAAGGGAACCAACTGACTTATGCTTGATGAGTATAAAATATACAAAACGAAACTAAGAAGAACAAACAGATAATATCATCAATGAAAAATTACAATTTAAATTCTACTCTCTCTTCTTTGATATCGCTAACCGTTTTACTGATAGTGATAGTGAAGGGAAGACGCCAGGTCCAGTCAGTTGCAGGTATGATAGTTGCTCTATCTTTGTTCATTTGTATGTCTGTGCTTTTTTGTGTCATGTTTTATGTATTTATTTATTCTGGTCTTTTGACATATTGCAAGCTTTGACAATGTTGTGTTTGCAACAATACTAGCATAGACAAATAGAATAAATAGAGACCGTCAGCTGTGCTGCGGTTGGCATAAGTTCCGGCGTCCACCGCTAGGTTTGCCGTGTAGTTACGGCGCACACCGCTGCAGCGTCTGCTGGTCGCATACGGCTCCTGCGCTCCTTGCCTGCAGCGGTGTGCGCCGTAACTACACGGCAAACCTAGCGGTGGGCGCCGGAACCTTCCTTTGACATCCTATATTTATTCTATTTGTCTATGATACTAGTCAGCAACTGTTGAAGAGAAATTTGGACTAGGCCTACAGAGGTATGATGACCTATTTTGAACAAATTAAACTAAAAAAACTACAGACAAAAATCCTTAATAATCAATTTTTTTAGAAGTTGTCTTCTAAAAGCCAAACATAAAAAAGGAAAATAATTTTCTTAAAAGCTAGCAAGATGGCTTCTGAAAGGTACACCATTGACTATTTGTCTACTTGTAGGCCTAATACTAGAAGGTGTCTTACTTCAGCCAGGAGACCTCTCTCTTCAAGTCCAGCTTGTAGAGCACCTCAGCGATTGGACTTTCATCTACCTGGTTCTCCTTCATTTGACCTTCATCAATGTTTTGAAGCCACCTGAAAATGAAACAGATTGTCAATAAAATACAAAAACAATTTTTTAAGTTTGGTACACTATTGATGAAGTATATTTGAGTTTCAAATTATTACTTTCCACAGGAACATATTGTGAGGCAAGATCATTTTTTGTTTTTATAAAGGAAAAGAGTCATAGAGCAGAAAATCTCGTCTGAAAAAGACTTTTGGAAAAGTTAATGAAAAATACCTCGATAGTACAAATTTTTCTCCTACTCCTTGATAGTCTTATAGAGGTTTGACTGTAGCTACTTCCCTATAGGGGAATTCGCTAAAATCAAGGATAAAATGAAACTCCAACAGACGAAAAGTGTATCACAGGCAGATTCAACAGTATTTTCATTTTGTAATAACTAGCTAGAGATAGGCTTGTAAAATCAGCAGATTTCAGTGACTTCCTTGACCCCCTAGTAAAAACAGTAAATTTTAGCGACTTCCAGTTTCCACTTGTAAAATCAGTGAATTTCAGTTACTTCCTTCACGTCTTTATAAAATCAGTGATTCCCTACAAAGGTACACCATCCACACAGTACTTCCAGTACACCTCCTGGTAAAATTAGTGAATTTCAGAGACTTCTTTAACCTCCTAAAATGAGCAAACTTCAATGGCTTCCGTAACCCCTGGACAACTTTTTCCTGGGACTTCCGTCAATTCAGTGACCAGTAGACACCCTGTACTCGTACAGTACTTAACTTCTACTACAGATGATACAGACTTTGAGCTCACCTATTGGTGGTGTCCCAGAGCCAACGAGGCTCCTTGTTGATAGGAACGTTCATAGCATGCACAGCGGCCATCTTGGTAGCTATCTGACGACTCAGCTTGTCATCAGCAAGTTCCAGCGTCCTGAGTGGCCTTGCCTGCAGAACATCATCATTGCATTTTATTTCAGCAAACACAATGCATATTTTGTGTAACAATTCCATATAAAAATTACCACAAATCTGAACATTCATTGACATGTCTAGTAGTATTATTGGAAGAGTGTTGGTGTTTTTATATCCAGGGATGGTTTTGGAGAATTAAATCTAAAAAGAAAAAAGATACAGGCATTGAAGATGATGAATATCCTAATAAAAGTACAAATTTAAGACCAAGTTTAGACTGTCATGTTCACTTCTGACTACTGTACTTACTTAACATTTGAGTCACTACACTTTTTGTTAAAAACATTAACGTATTAGAGTACCTTAATAGGCCTAAAAACATCAATAGAATGTTGTAAAATATTCCTGGACAAATTATCATCTTGTCTACATACCGGTATATACTCCTCAATCCGTCCACCAGGGAATATGCCATGCAGTTTGGGCCCCAAGTTGCGTTCAGACAATAGAGTGAAGATGACAGAGTCAGTAATGAGACTCTCGAGTGCTCTCTCTCCATGAGTCTGGCCATAGAGACGCAGCAGGACCTGTGAAGGCTCAGCAGGCTTGACTAGGGGCTTGGTGAATGACACCTGGTACAGCCAGTTGCTCAGTCCTCCACTGTAACAGGCAGACATGTAATGAGACACTCTCTCCATGAGTCTGGCCATAGAGACGCAGCAGGACCTGTGATGGCTCAGCAGGCTTGACTAGGGGCTTGGTGAATGACACCTGGTACAGCCAGTTGCTCAGTCCTCCACTGTAACAGGCAGACATGTAATGAGACACTCTCTCCATGAGTCTGACCATGGATATGCAGCAGGACCTGTGAAGGCTCACAAGCTTGACTAGGGGCTTGGTGAATGACACCTGGTACAGCCAGTTGCTCAGTCCTCCACTGTAACAGGCAGACATGTAATGAGACACTCTCTCCATGAGTCTGACCATGGATATGCAGCAGGACCTGTGAAGGCTCAGCAGGCTTGACTAGTGGCTTGGTGAATGACACCTGGAACAGCCAGTTGCTCAGTCCTCCACTGTAACAGGCAGACATGTAATGAGACACTCTCTCCATGAGTCTGACCATGGATATGCAGCAGGACCTGTGAAGGCTCACAAGCTTGACTAGGGGCTTGGTGAATGACACCTGGTACAGCCAGTTGCTCAGTCCTCCACTGTAACAGGCAGACATGTAATGAGACACTCTCTCCACGAGTCTGACCATGGATATGCAGCAGGACCTGTGAAGGCTCAGCAGGCTTGACTAGTGGCTTGGTGAATGACACCTGGTACAGCCAGTTGCTCAGTCCTCCACTGTAACAGGCAGACATGTAATGAGACACTCTCTCCATGAGTCTGACCATGGATATGCAGCAGGACCTGTGAAGGCTCAGCAGGCTTGACTAGTGGCTTGGTAAATGACACCTGGTACAGCCAGTTGCTCAGTCCTCCACTGTAACAGGCAGACATGTAATGAGACACTCTCTCCATGAGTCTGACCATGGATATGCAGCAGGACCTGTGAAGGCTCAGCAGGCTTGACTAGTGGCTTGGTAAATGACACCTGGTACAGCCAGTTGCTCAGTCCTCCACTGTAACAGGCAGACATGTAATGAGACACTCTCTCCATGAGTCTGACCATGGATATGCAGCAGGACCTGTGAAGGCTCAGCAGGCTTGACTAGTGGCTTGGTAAATGACACCTGGTACAGCCAGTTGCTCAGTCCTCCACTGTAACAGGCAGACATGTAATGAGACACTCTCTCCATGGGTCTGACCATGGATATGCAGCAGGACCTGTGAAGGCTCAGCAGGCTTGACTAGTGGCTTGGTGAATGACACACTGGTACAGCCAGTTGCTCAGTCCTCCACTGTAACAGGCAGACATGTAATGAGACACTCTCTCCATGAGTCTGACCATGGATATGCAGCAGGACCTGTGAAGGCTCAGCAGGCTTGACTAGTGGCTTGGTAAATGACACCTGGTACAGCCAGTTGCTCAGTCCTCCACTGTAACAGGCAGACATGTAATGAGACACTCTCTCCATGAGTCTGACCATGGATATGCAGCAGGACCTGTGAAGGCTCAGCAGGCTTGACTAGTGGCTTGGTGAATGACACCTGGTACAGCCAGTTGCTCAGTCCTCCACTGTAACAGGCAGACATGTAATGAGACACTCTCTCCATGAGTCTGACCATGGATATGCAGCAGGACCTGTGAAGGCTCAGCAGGCTTGACTAGTGGCTTGGTGAATGACACCTGGTACAGCCAGTTGCTCAGTCCTCCACTGTAACAGGCAGACATGTAATGAGACACTCTCTTCATGAGTCTGACCATGGATATGCAGCAGGACCTGTGAAGGCTCAGCAGGCTTGACAAGTGGCTTGGTGAATGCCACCTGGTACAGCCTATTTATAGTATTTATCTGGTTGTTTTATTCACATTCGACTGTATAACTGTTCCATAATCCAACTTCCATATACAAAAACTGGACTGTACAAAAAACTGCAATTGAAAAAAAAACTACACAACTGAATATAAAAGTATGGAGGAGGATAAGTTTCTTAATGGTCAGTTTCATGACAGTTGTAAGATCTTTTTTTCTTATAAGATGGCAGGACACAGAAACAGAAGAGACACAAGCAGAGTGTTATCTGTTCATTCACCTGTGTTTGTTGACTATAGTCAGAACACTTGTTGATATCAAAATTGTATAAGTCATTGTACATTGCAGACCTGACAAGCACTTTAACTGAAAACACAAAATGCTTATCCGTACCTCCATTAAAACTACCAAAAATAAATTTGATTCTCTTCCCAATCAGAGATTTAATAATTTAGTAGCAAATATTTTACATTTATTCTTAAAACTGTAGATTAGTTAAAATATGAATGATATATTAAATATGAAGTGTAGGGCCTATACATCAAATAATTGCTATGTGCTCCTTAAATATGCATAAAACTGTTCAAATCTGTTTGAAAAACACTTTACACAATCTACTACTTTTGATGAAGCAATTTCTAGACGACAATAAGCAATTTTTATTTTTTTTTTATTCGGCAACCAGTAATCCAACAACTAATGCAACAATTTAGTAGTAAGGTGTCAAGAGGTGGCTGGCCAGCCTTGTCGTACACAGCATTCTTGGGTTCAGACAGACAGTAGTGGCGTGATACGCGAGTCACCAATCACACCACATCGCGCCACTCTAGCGCTCTCTCTCTCTCTCTCTCTCTCTGACTCTGACACTCTCTCGCCGTGACGTCACTACACGCGTTGGCTACCTGCTAGAGGTCGTACGGAACGAGGTGAAGCTTGGAGGGGAATAGTGGTGTGGCGGGGGAAGTGTCGCTATGCGAGGCGGTGATCGGCTCGTTTCTTACCCCCACCATGGATTTCCCCGCTTTAGACCGTTCCTGCCGAAAATCTCAGGCTTCACCTCGTTCCGCACGACCTCTACCATGTAACGCCACTTGCTCGAGGGATAAAGATAATTGATAAAATGACCCATTGCTGAATTGTTGCATTTAATTTACTTTTGGTACTTTTATTTTTATTTAATATAGTTTTGAAACGCTTTTAAAAAATATTATGAATTACCATTGGAAACTGTACTATTTTGTAGGCCTACGCAATATGATACTTAAGATTACGGTACCTAGACTATAATTATTTATGATTTCGTGTTCGTACAGAAAAAAGCTACAAGAAGAAAAAAATTAACTAGTAAATTCATACTGAAGAGAGAAATAGGACTACTGTATACAGTATTTATATTTCAAAAATGTACTGAGAAATATCAAACAACCCTAAAATTTGACATTGACATTTCCTACTAAAAATATCGTGGGATATTCTAGAGAGGGTAATGACTCGACAATCCCCAATAAAATCAGTGATTTGTTCCCTTCAAGATGTTCTCTAACCGTCTCTAACCTATTTCTGTGTGTCTGCTGACATGCAGAGTGCAGACTGATGAAATGCCAGACTGAAATAACTCACGTTTTATCTTGATATAACTTAAAACTACATATAGCTTTATAAATCGAACCATAATACCTTTAAACCACGTCCAACTGCAATAGTCTCGTATATTAATACTACGAGTAAATAAAATTGTTGCAATTTACTTTCATTTTGTGGTAAATAAAATAAACAACATAGAATGCTACTACATGGATGTAAGAAACACAAAAATACGTCACTAGCTCGAATGTAACCTAAACAAAATAAATAACCGTAACATACAGTAATGTTTGTATTTTGGCTGTTATGTCATATTTTAATTTGAATAATTAACGGTGTGTTTCGAGCTAGTGCCGTCATTTGTTTATGTTTGTGGTTCTTGCCATTCTGTTCTAATATCCGTAGTAGTGAAGTAAACAAACTGTGGAAAGTTCGAGAGAACAAGGTGATTACTGACGTCAACTGCGCGGATAAAGGATAATTGGGCAACCTACGCGCCGAAGTACGGCGAACCAGTTTTATAGTCTTCTACCTGTAACCTCCTCTCTAACAGGGTTGTCATCCTATTGATAGGCTGAGGGCAAATTTTTAAGCATGTTAATGCAAAATAAATCATGTGCGTCGATGTCTTCTGTTTCTTTAAAACTATTTTACCAGCGTTCAATTTCCAGACCATAATATCTGTTTGTAATCAATGGCTTGTACCCTTAAATTTTAAGGGCCCATACACGGTCAATATTTATCGTGCAATATATTGCACAGCACAATCTTAATGAAGAGCGACCATAAACAGTTCAATAATTTTGTGCAACCTACGATTTAGTCAAGTCGTCAATTTAGAGAAGATTGAAGGCAGACTGAAAGGATATTGTGCAATATCACCCATACACGATTCAATATAATGAAGATTGCACAATATATGTCAAAACGGTTTGTATTCACTCAATATATTGCACAATTAGATTTTCGCCTTCAATTTAACCCTTACAAGTTCAATAATATTGCGCAATAATATTGGCCATGTATGGTCCCCTTTTATTCACCTGCTCGAGCGTTGCACAAATTCACAAATTCTATACTCGTATCCAAACACCAAACACAAGTTTTACCTTTAATTGTTTAACTATGTGAAGTACCTGGAGAGAACAAAACACTTGAGTCCTAAGTCAGATTGTTAACACTATCAGGTCGGCCTATATGAATAACAGGAAAGAAGTCAAAATATAAACAACAGTGGGTGTGTTTGGTAAACATGTTGCTGTAAACACCACGTAGGCCCACCTTGTCTGGTGACGGCCACTGACCTAATTCTGCTGCGGAACTTTCCGTTGCGACCTGCGACGTCATCATCCACGGGGCTAGAGACAATGTCATAGCAAACAAACACTAAACAAGTGCATGAATTGATCTACTAGTAGAGGTGTTGTCAGGGTAGCCGAGATGTCACTGTGTTCACCTGCAAATCTCAAGGCCACCGGTTACTGGTTAGATTCAAAGCGAGATATATCAATGTATATGTATGATGGTAACGATACCAAGGGTTGGTTGGACCGTTTCCCTTAAAACCAGTAACAAGTGTTAATGGTGCTGATAAATGCAGATTAAATAGAGATAGATGTAATTCCTCTGTGGTGATGGATAGATTGTTTC